GACAAGCGAAACTCATCCTGTTTGCCTAGTCTCTAAAACAGTTCACGTCCTGCCGTAGGGAACACAAAAGATGTCCTTCCCCCCTCGAGATTTTCCCTCTGATACGACCTCCTTTCCCTTGCTTATGCTACCTACCATCTTCCTGTATTCTTTCACCGGCTTCCCGGAGACTTCTTGAGAAGAACAATTATTGGGTCGCCCCAAAAAAGCCGGTGGTGAGAGGAGAGGTCGTATCTAGCCTGAGAAAATTTTTGTTGATAGTCGATTTTTTCTTATTTTACGCGCGATATCCACAACGTTGGAAGACTCCCTCGGGGGAGGGGTAGCTTTGAGTGAGGAGTCGTACCTAACTGGTGACTTTCCGTGGTTTTCTCCTATGCCCCCTCTCCCTCCCCCTCACCCAATTAAACTGGAAAAAGTAAGGCAAAGTCAAAAGTCGTGAAATGAATGGGGGAGGGGGTCGTACCAGGGATGGACGTCAGTTTTGGGAGGGGGGGGAGCGTAGATCCTAAAAATTTTCCCCATTGGCAAGTGGGAGTGCCTTGGACGGCACTGGGCCGCACGCGCCAAAACGCATTCTCTGCGTTACAACGCTAAAACGCAACGCTGGGCACCACCTCTTGATTCACCAATGGCGTTCAATTAAAGACTCCGCCTCCTAGCCAATGTACGCACTTTCTTTAAGGTTCCAAGTTCCCATCTTTCGGCCGTGAGATTCTAGGAATCCCACTACCGAAAGTGGGATTCCTGGAATTCCACTACCGAAAGGTACTGAAAGAAACAGATGCGAAGACATATGTAAAGGGAACAGAAGAAAAGAGAAAAGCGTCAATGAGAAGGGGGAATTCGAAAAAAGTAACGATGAATAGTATCAAAAGGGATAAAAAGGGTGCAGATTGGCTTGGTGGGGCACATGGTACTCAACGAAGCTTGTACAGGCCACGTTGTTGTGAAAACCTGTACGAGCAAGCTTCCCATGAACAAAAAAAAAGAACTTCTGCATGAAAGCAAAACAACAAGTGGAGTGAGAAACATAAGAAGTTCAAGCAATCACAAAGCGTTATGAGCTTCTGGAGGGGCCACTCTCCAATAAGGTTAAGCTACGTCATGTCTCCTCAACTGCACCTTCTCACGCAGACAGTGTAACATGTTCTAACAGGGCTGAGTCAACGTCACCCGTTCACTATGACAGCATGACGTGACTTTGTCGCGTCAGAACATGGCGCGCTTAGGTCTTATTGGAGGGTGGCTCCTCTCGTGGCATAAAGTACCCACGATCAACTTACTGATGCATCGAACGTATGCAAACTTCTCGTGACCTGTTTTCGCATAGACGCACGATGATTACTGATCCTTTTACGGAATCTCAGAACCATACGCTGTAACACAACCACACAATTGATATCGTCGCAATCAGTCGGGCGGCGTCTGGAGGCGTGGTATGGGTCCGCCCGCGGCGTTTTCTATCACTGGCTAATTTCTATCCGAAGCGGCCACTACTGGTGGTAAACGCAGCCGTGGGCTCACGCCACGCCTCTTGACAGCGCCTCGCCGGATTGTGACGATATCAACCACAGGAGAGGCAAACACATAAAGCACGAGTAACAGGGTGCAAGAGCGGGAGATTGATGACTTTTCAGGAATATTCGCCGTCCATGCATGTGATGCAGGACAAGTTAGAAGTCCCCACCCAATCGTAATGGCCAAGAATTACATGATGCCCCCCCCCACCCACATAAGCTTACGGGAACACTCCACACTTATCATATGAGCAGTGCGAGGTCAAATTGTGCCTTTCCGAAAAGTGTCCCTCCTTTCGGTTGTCAGCGTGGTAAGCGCAAAGGAGGCCTGGCTCCGCCCACAAGATAAGCGTGGACCGGGTTTTTCACATTAGTAAAACGAAGAAGGTGAAATAACCTAGCATGCATAAACATAACACGATAAGATAGGGAGGGGTTAGGTAAGGGTTAAACCACTTGGGAAATAAGCGTAAGCATAGCTAGCATACCAAAAATGTTAGTGCAAAGGCCACATAACTCACAACCAAGTATAAAACCAACACCAATTCTGCCTTTTACAGGGAAATGAGAAAGGGATTTCAAACTCTCAAGAGAAGAAAACGGAGCAAATTTCTTCAGCATTCACATACCGATAACGCATGATTGTCAGCTGATGGTGGTGGTTCTGGTAGCACTTCACTATCATATACGGGCGATTCCCGTCCTTGTGATTCACAATCCTGGAAACAGAGATTCAGAAAAATTTCATTGTTAAGCAGTGAAAATTAAGACCCCCTGTCTCTTGGTTAGATGAAAAGAAGGAAGAAAAAAAATATTAGCTGACCAA